TCTATTTATAATTAAATTTTATTGTTTTATTGCCCTTTGAAAGGTGTCTAACTACTATCCACACCATTATAATTTGTAAATCACTCGAGAAACGTGCAGCTCACATTAAGCTATCAAATTACATTACCCATGAGCTGCTCACGCGAGTGCCTCATGAACCATTTTAAATATATAATTATTATTTATTTTACCTAATCTAGTCTTAAATAACTTAAAAAAGATCTGTATTTTTAATTTTAGTTACTTTTATAATGACAAATAAAGAATTAAATATGAAAAACAAGAAATAAAGTACTTATCCTATCTTGTTCTTTTTTCTTGCCCTCGATTGTCGAGGAGAGTTAAGCCTGATTTTTTATAGTAATTATAGTAATGCACTTAACAATTGTTATTTAATTAAATAATGCACCAAAGAATATACACTACTAACATGCAAAAAGTAGACAAATTCACTTACCTCTCAAAATTTTCCTGGCTTTCTAACTATGCGACAAGAGCCACTATAAATTCATCCACGCCATGAAAACGATGTTGCTACTCTGAGTGAAATTGACATATTAACTGTTCAGACCACAACATTATACAATACGTCATTTGATAGTCATTTGGTAATATATAATGAAACGTAAAAGAAAACTATCAATAAATTGTGAAAGAGATTATGTGACAGATGGGTGTGGCTGGAGGGGTCTGATTTACTATTTAATAGCTCTGTAACCAAACAAAAATGAAGGATATAAAGATTATGGTTTATTTGAGCAATAACGATTTTACAAAAAAGTATTTGATACTTTCATCAGACCTCAAACTTTCTTAGATCTGACATTTTTGTAAGGAAATGGATGCTTATTAATGCTGATGTACGACACAGAATGTGAGACACTATTCTCTGTCAGTATATACTATTTGCAAGTATCCAGTATGGACTTATAGTATCTTACTCATAACAGAATTGGTATGTACTGATGTGCATAACAGTGTTTCAATGTGCTTTCTTCTGTGATATTAGTATGTCAGGTTCTGTAGACACAATACCTTTTTAAGGTAAGCACTAGAAATGTATCTGTATTTGGTAAGTTAATATAGTTAATGTTTTAAACATTTTTCCTGTCTCAATGTGATGTCCTACTTTATACAAAGCAACCCATTAAATGTGGCAAAAAAACAACCATTAAGACCAGGGAGGCACAGGTAACCGGGCCAGATATTGGACTTCCTGGTAATACTCGGCTCCAGCCAAGTGTTGAAGTTAAAAACAACCAATTCCGGGTAATTGAAAATGGCATCTAAGCCTTAATCTTTGTGACAACTAACGCAGTACTGAAAGTTACAGTCAATAATTGGTTTAATTAAAAAAAAACGTGTTCTGAGCAACATAGACTGACCACCCGCTGAAAGTCGGGGATTCAGAGAACAATAGGGGTTAATAACAGGCATGGTTTGAGAAGCAAATTTCTGGAGAAGGTGGGGGTTTTGAGAACAATAGGGGTTAGGCGTTGAAAGTAAAACTTGAATGTTCTGTTGGTAATTATTCGGTTAAATGTAATAAATGTCAATTTTGTTTTTTTTTAAGGGGGGGCCAGAGGAGAACCCGGTCTCGGTTGACACCCAGACCCAGTATTTTACTACCCGTGCATCCCTAATTAAGACATAAACAACTATATGCCCAAATAAATTACATTTAAACCAAAATGCAGTTCAAAATAAAACTAATTAATTTTTGGTTTATCAATTTGAGAAAATACGTTATCAATACTAGAATAAAGGAAGGCTTACAGTATGTTGTACATGTTTAACACTGGTGCATTCACAATATGTTAAGCATGTTAAACATGAAGATGTATTACAACAACATGTTCAAGACAGAAGGAAGGTATACACTTACAAGTTTATCGTATCTCCCACCAGCAGCCAATACTTCCATACCACTTTTCCTGTTTTTTTTCTTTAATTGACACACAAATTGGAACAACATTCCAGAGAAGTTGGTGATTTTATATACCAAAGCTGGAGTAACTACTATCTGCAAAGAAATACAATAACACCTAATATATAAAAGAAAGTGTATTACAAAGGTAGAACTTCCTTCATTGTGTCTTTTTTAGTTTTATTTATCTATAGTGGTAATCATTAGCACTTTCCATGAATGTGTCTACAAGACTATTAACAAAAACAGTCACACAAAAATTGTCCTCTACAAATTCATTGGGGAAAAATCAGTTGGAAATAACATTTCAGATGACAAAGTAATTTTTCTTAGCATTTTAAGTAACTTGTGCTAAAACCCAAAATAGGACAAATTAAAATAGTATAATAAATATAAACAGAAGATTAAAATACCTTTATCAAAAGATTTTGTACTTATATCTACAAAAAGTTAAACTACACTTTTTCACACTTGTTATTGCAAAATACTTTGTGAAACTTATTGAAAAACTTAATTTTTTATTAACTCTTTTCAGCACGGGCTTGGTCCCTGGGACTGATCTCGTAACCAATGTGTGCTTGTTATGGTTTTCATGCAATAATTTTTAATTTAGTAAGCACATGTTAATGAAATTTGGCAGATTATCAGTATACATTACAATGCTTTTATATACAAAATATAAATATAAAAACTCTTAAGGTTTGTTAAGCAATGTTTTTCTCATGTCTCTTTTTTTGTTTTTTGCATGTTGCCTATGACATGGCCTTTCACCAGCAATGTGTCTGGAAAGGGTTAAGGTTTTGTAACAATTCTCTCAAGAAAAATTATTTTTAATATCTTGGATTTGTTAAGAAAATAACTTACATCATTAAGATTAGCACCTAATTTCTTTTGAATGATATGAAAGTTTTACAGTTAATATAGATAAGTTCAAAATGGTATTTACTCTGATACTAATCAATATCTGATACTGAAAAGGAACCATCTCACCCAACACATAGCCTCTGTATATGTGTAATAAATAACTAAGACCTAAATTTCTGTTATTTTCATTTGAATAAGAGGAATGAATATGAGTAAAACTGATAAATTATAAAGGATTGAATATCTCCTTTAATTCACTTTAGACAACGTTCATAATACATATGGGTTGGACATATAAAAATACGGTTAGAATGAAATTTATATATTTTTCACTAATCCTTACCATACTAAAACTTACATTGATTTTAGAGTTTACACCCAAAGCCATCAAATGAGATACAATGACATCCAATTCATGGAGAGCTTGTTTTGCCAAGGATGCAACCTATGTTATAAATGTAAAGTGCTTCAATAAAAATATGGTTAAAGAAATCTTGAATAACATACTTATCACACAAAAAAGATGATATTTAACTAGCAGCCAACAATACTTTGTTTTCTTAATACATGCTCATTTTCAGAATCAATTTTCTCATCCCTACACATATAATGCAATACTGTAAGTAATTTTTGTGGATTGTAACTTTTAACCCCCTTTGTTCTTAAGACATGGAACTTCTAAAGTTAAGTTGGAAAAGTTATTGCTTTATTTTTTACAGTTTAGTAAAACTATCATATGTTTTACTCAGTTTGATATAAACTTGCATTCACAACCCTTACCTGTCCAATTCCCTACAACATCCAGGTGGGTATTTTGGTAAGGGATTCTCCAGGTAAACATAATAAAATGAGTGCAGTTAATACTGCAATTATTTAATTTCTTTTAACAATCATTAAATATCTACACAGATCAGTTGATTATATACATATGTAACTTGAAATCTAGAAATCAATGTACTGTAGTTTGAAAATGGATACCTGTCCTTTCTTCTTTATGATAGGTTGTAATACTGAATGAAGTTTCTGTAATGAAGTTTCAATTTCTATAAACTGGTACAGTGAAGCCACAGTCTGGTCAGATAAAGACAGATTTATAAGCTGACTCTGGATTTGAAATTTGGTCATGTTTGCATTCTGGAAAAATATAATAAAATGTATACATTGCATACTCAAGGAGATTTCTAGTTTAGCATTACTTTAACACCAAAAAAATTCAAAAACCAAACATTTGGTAATAAAGAAGAATTTACAAATATACATAATTGACATAAAACAACATTTTTCTTTTAGAACATGATATTTCTCTCATGTAAAAAATAAACTAAGATATATAATAATAATAATATAATATTATATAATAATTTTATGAGCTTAATTTCTCTAGTATAATCAACAAAACATTTCAAGACTTTTGCTGAAGAATGGCCAATACTACCCCTAATTCACATTCTTTATTTTTTCTTTGATCTATTATGAGTCTATTTTTTAAACACAAAACTATAAGGACCTTTTTAATTATTTTAATACTTATGAAGTAAAATTTACCAGTTGACTATTTAAAATAAAGAGCTGTCATAACAATGTTTGAGTTTCTTTTTCTAAGTGGTATTTTCCATTCATCAGTTGTGATTTTACCTCCTCACCTCCATCAGTTGTAATTATCTCTACATTATAATCTGTTGTGATTTTACCTCCTCACCTCCATCAGTTGTAATTATCTCTACATTATAAGCTGTTGTGATTTTACCTCCTCACCTCCATCAGTTGTAATTATCTCAACAGTATAATCTGTTGTGACTTTATCTGTACACCTTCATCAGTTGTGGTTTTACCTCCTCACCTCCATCAGTTGTAGTTATCTGTACAGTATAATCTGTTGTGACTTTATCTGTACACCTTCATCAGTTGTGGTTTTACCTCCACACCTTCATCAGTTGTAATTATCTCTACAGTATAATCTGTTGTGACTTCATCTGTACACCTTCATCAGTTGTAGTTATCTCTACAGTATTATCTGTTGTGACTATCTGTACACCTTCATCAGTTGTGACTTTACTGCTATACATTCATCAGTTTAATTTACCTCTACACTTTCTTCAGTTCACTTATTACTACAACCATCAGGTGTAAATTTATTGCCACACTTTTATCAGTTGTTTACGACTTTATCATTAAGCTTTCAGTTAGGCATTCTTTATCATTATTTTTTTATCTACATTTATTTTTTGTTCTAAACAATGGCCTGTATAGCTTTTTCATAAGTGTAGCTTCACAGCTCACTGTTTTAAGTGTATAAACCTGGGATTCTGTCCCACATCATAATTAATCATCAGATACTAAAATTTGATTTCAGATGTAGACACTGATAAAATCCAGCTTCAGTGCTGATATACAAAAATAACAGAAGTGATCTTTTGGTTCTAATAAATTTCATACTAATAGTATATGATAAGTTTGTTCTAAGATTTAAACAGTTGGTGCAATCTAGCAATAGCTATATACAGAGGAAGAAACAACAAATATTAATGTTCTACATTTACCTTTCTCCCACTAAGAATTCTATAAACTTCTGAGTGTTTTTCATCTTGTACACCACAATAAAGTAGAACAGCTTTCAAAATGGAAACATGGTTTAACCGGAGGTAGGAGTGTGACTAAGTAAATAATTAATATGACTTATCAATTACAGTGCAAGAATCTAAGTACAAAAAAATATCTTGTAAAGGAAATTTGTGAATTTTCTCGGAAGAAATTTTTATTCAAAGAAAATCTTCATAAAAATTAAGATTAATCTTATACATCAAATCTCTATACCTCTTTAAGTACAGGATTTGTTAGCTATAAAAATACTAATTATAACTAGGAAAAATGCAGACATAGTTTACTGATGCCCCCAAGTATTATCTTTAATAACTACCAACAATAAATAATGGATCCCTTTTTACTACAAAAGATGAATATTCAACTATTTAAAGATGTTCGAGTTTCTGGATATTCTGAAATCTATCAAAGAAAAGATATATATATATATAAAACAAATTACTAGTACAGAAAACATTTATGTAAATTTCAAACTAAAAGAATAGTAAATGGCCAATAAAAGTGTCATGCATTGTTATATAAAAGAGAGAATGAAATATGATAAATTTGTGAATGTGAAACTCTTTAACAAGAGAGTATTCATGTCAAAATGTAACAAACTTCAAAAAGTTAATTTAAAGCTTGTTTACAGAATGCTTACAACTTTAACACTAAAACTAACTGAACAACCTTGCTTAAGCAACAACCAAGGAGAACAAACAGAAATGATGAAACTTTACACAATTCTACAGCAGAAGTTAAACAAATACTGTAAAGTATATAATCACAAGATCACCGAATAAGATTTATCTCTGACAGCCAATTCTTATGCCATCAACTATGAATAATGATAATTTTTAATCTAAGCACTTACAAGTTTAAGAATTTACTATCATGAATGTGACATGTACCTGAAGTGCTGGGAATGCATCAATTATTTCCGAGACAACAAACAATACTTCGGCATCAGGAAGAAGGCTAATAGAGAAATATCAACCAAAAATGAAACTATTCACCATCAGTATATGATATCAGCACTTTTAAAATATAACATTTGCTTCTCTTAATGAAAAATAAACTAACTGTTGATGCAAAGTAAACTATATTTCAGAAAGCTTTCAATATTAGATAAGTTTCAAATCATTCCAAAAAATAAACATAAAAAAAAAAAATTAAGAATACCAATAACAATAAGAAGATGCCAAAACACAAATGTGATTAATGAAGTGGTTACTTCCTGTGTTTGAATGCAAGCACTAATAGAATTTTATTTCACCTTCACTGTAACCTCATAATTTTTTTTTTACCCTTACAATTTCATTTATTTCAAGGTTACCACATGTTTGAGAATAATAATCTTTATTAACACAGTCAAATTAATTTTTTAGGCATTATCAGGGATTTTAATTGTATCCTTATTTGAATATGAAAATAAATTAAATACTACATCAATAATGTAGAATTGAATTTAATGTAGTGTTTGGCATAGAAAGATAAAAAGCACCTGAAGATAGGTAAATAACTACAAAATAAATAAAACATGCATGTTGACACAACATCTCTAATTTGTATTGCAGGAAAAACTAGATCAAATAAGATCCAACAGTTAGATAAGATAGAAAAAAAACCCAATATAAGCAGACTTTTGTAATGTACTGACATAATTATTAAGGTCCCCACCTTCCTTGATTTGGAGTAACAATATCAAAAGCACATTCATACAGCTCACGAGGATGACAACCATATACTTTTCTCTCCCGAAAAACTTTTCCCAAGTCATAACGCTTCAGTTGAGTTATCTCTTTTCGAGCTATAAACCGAGCAAATGGAACCTAAAAGTATGTGCATAAGACTACAGCAAAATTTTTAACTTAAAATCTACACATTTAACAATTTTCCATCACTTTTTAATAGTGAGAATAAGGCTAAACTCTGTATCAAGATAATCAAAGTCACTGACACTAGTTCAAAAAGCAACATATTAATTGTACATATACATTTCTTAACTTTATCACTTCAACTAGAATATGATTTTTTAAATATGAAACAAAGTGAAGAAAACAACATTTTTCATTTAATTTATACAGCACCTTATGATTGTTTTCTTAAGTTATAAATGCCATTATTTGAGCACAAAATCTTGTTTCAATCAAAAAACATAAACCATAAGTATTAATGTATACATATAATTCTTATCATAGTACACAAAAGTACTTTTCAGCACTCCCTGTTTCATTTCACACTGAATTTAAATAAAACTGCATCCTCAAAATACTGACTTAGAGATCAGGTGATGTTCTTTTCAGGTTAATATCTTATGAATTACTGGAAAGCATTATTTTAATCATCTACATAGAATTTTAATTGGGTACTAACAATTTTAATAATTCAAACGAATGCAAAGCTTACAGATATCAAGTTTAAATAACTTAATATGTACTAGAATGAAGAAAACTAATGCACAGTTCTGTAAGAAATATTGTAAGATGTAAAATAGTCACAAGCTAATAAACTGAGAACTGTTTGTTTGTAGGTAAGCTCAAAGCTACACAATGAGCTATCTGTGCTCTGCCCACCACGGGTATCGAAACCCGGTTTCTAGCACTGTAAGTTTGCAGACATACTGCTGTGCCATTGAGGTGCTTGAGAACTGTTTAAATAAACCTCACTTTATGCAGAACTTCAAGTTTTTGAGTATGCTTTGGGTTAAAGAATTATAAATATATACATATACTGTTTGAAAGAGCTCTACTAATAATTTACTTTCAGGCTGATAAATGTGTTTGTTTGGTTCTTTGTTGAATTTCATGCAAAAGTACTTAAGGGCTATCTGCATAGCTTTCCCTAACTTTGAACCGGAAGGAAGGCAGCTAGTCAATGCCACCTACTGCCAATCTTTGAG